GAATGGTTGTGCGTTATCTGACTGAAAATGTGACGTTACTCTGACATAATTTACATACGCATTTTTATTCCGATATATGCTTATCAACTCGATAACATTTCTATCTAATTGAACGATTATTCCCTTTGGAAAGTAGATACATAATTGAAAGTTTAATATATATTTCTTTTTATTTAGGTAAGTCACAAGTGTTTACTTGAAAGTGTTCATTTAATGTTGTTATTGATTCTTAACTAAAAAGTTATTTCTGTAATCAATACAATGTTTCTCGAAAACAATATTGAGAAATATCTTTTCAACACAGTTCATTGTTTCCAAATAAAAAGTTGTTTTTACAAACTACAAAATGCTATTGAAAAGTAAACTTTTGTTATTAAATGATACAAGCTAATGATTGTGATTAATGTGAACGAAAATTAATTGTTTTCAGACCTAAGCGAATGTTATTAAAACTACTGAAGTAGGAATGAATCGTAGAGGTTTAAATACTGGAAATACGATGACTTCTCAATCAAATATTGACGAAGGAAACTGGAAAGGGGTAGCAGAAGGCTCAGCAATGCTGCCTTCATCGAATTCTTCATCTATAAATCCGGACGCCAGCAATCAGAGTGGATTTCCACAAGGCGGGCTACCATATTCGGCTAGTGGCAATCCATACCCACAAGCTGGTCAATCCTCACCTGCTGGCAATCAGTCTTTAGTATTTCAAAATACTAATCAACCCGGATCGAATACTCCTCAATATACATCATCGCCAGCTCCGTCAGGCTCATCGACTCCAGGTCCTGTTGGTGTTGCATCGCAAAATATACAGGGAAATTATTCACAATCCTCAACTGCTGGCAACTTCAATGGACCAGTTGGCGGACCATTTGGGTCACCGTCTTCCGGCTTGGGTCAATTTAGCCGACCAGCAAGCTCAGGCACTCCATTTAACAGCGGACAGGCTGGTCATTTCTCCTCGCCGACAGTTTTTGGCGTCGGAAGCCAATTCAATCCCATGCCACCAGCATCACCATTTGGCCATGGTGGAAACCATCCAATGATGGGCGGACCTCAGCAAATGGATAGAATCGATCAAGGCTTTAGGAGGCACAACTCATACTTCAGTCACACAGAGCATCGGGTGTTTGAGCTGAACAAACGCCTGCAACAGCGCAATGAAGACAGCGACAACTGCTGGTGGGATTCGTTCACAACCGAATTCTTCGAGGATGACGCCAGATTAACAATATTATTTTGCTTGGAAGATGGACCAAAAAGATATACAATTGGCCGGACACTGGTGCCACGCTTTTTTCGAAGCATCTTTGAGGGCGGCGTCTCTGACCTGTATTTCCAGCTGAAGCATGCTAAGGAATCTTTCCACAACACATCCATAACATTGGATTGCGATCAGTGTACCATAATAACACAGCATGGCAAGCCATTTTTCACAAAAGTGTGTGCGGATGCAAGACTTATACTAGAATTTATGTACGATGACTACATGAGAATCAAATCATGGCACATGACCATCAAAGGACATCGAGAACTCATTCCACGATCCGTAATTGGCACTTCGCTTCCGCCGGACCCGATGCTGTTGGATCAAATAACCAAGAATATCACTCGGGCTGGCATAACAAACTCAACCTTAAACTACCTTCGCTTGTGTGTTATACTGGAGCCAATGCAGGAGCTTATGTCGCGCCACAAGGCGTATGCTCTGAGTCCGCGCGATTGCTTAAAGACGACTTTATTTCAAAAGTGGCAGCGCATGGTGGCGCCGCCCGGCAAAAAGGACCCCCAAAGACCGCCGAATAAGCGTCGCAAAAGAAAAGGATCCAATTCGGGAGGTGCCAACAACACGAGCACACCACCCGTAGCGAATCAAAAGAGATCGCCATCGGGACCCAGCTTTTCCCTGTCCTCGCAAGATGTGATGGTTGTTGGCGAGCCAACATTAATGGGCGGCGAATTCGGAGAGGAGGACGAAAGGCTCATCACGCGTTTGGAAAATACCCAATACGATGGCACCAATGCCGTCGAGCACGATAATCACACTGGCTTTGGCCATGCCGATTCGCCAATATCTGGCTCAAATCCATGGAGTATGGAGCGGGGAGGCAATATTCCAGCTAGTCCTGGCAACCCTTCTGGACCTCAAAATAATGCAAATATAGCGGATATAGATAAAAAGAGCCCCATTGTATCGCAATAGAATAAAATGAATAGTCCGAAATTATAATTTAATTTTATGATATGTGGTGAAATGTATTTTCATACTTGCATGTAAAAAATACTTTTTAATAAAGTTTCTAGCTTTTAGGAAATTTCATATAGAGTTATTAGTTTCACAACTTTAATTCATGTTTGCTTATAATTTTCTTAAAACTCTTTTTAAACAAAACAGTTCAAAGGGCTAATTACCTGGATAAATTTTAGTTCCATTAAAAATACTTTTAAACCGAGTCAAGAACTTAAAATTTTAACTCTCGAATGGTATATTAGTTATTTTATTTATTCATTAGATTATAAGAATTGTGACTATTATGTAAAAATAAGTAGATCCAGAATCAATAAATTAGAAGTTGGTATAACACAAGTCAAATCAGAAAGACTCTAATAACATTCCAAAAATGAATAGCTAAATCATAAGGATAATAGCTAAATCATAAGTGTTTCAAGAATGCCCATATAGGGAATTCTTGAAGATCTTCAAAGCATATTCATCTTATAATTATATGCGCATGTGCGTGTATATGTGTGTGTAGTATTTGAATAAGGAAATACAAAAGCTGAAGTTAGTAGAATATTCAAGTAAAACTAAGCTAAAAGGACTTAATTAATCAAGTCAAATAAAAGTCTGTTTTGTGTAAGGAGGGGTCAGAGGGTAAAGGTTTCAATACAAGTTGAATTTCCCATAGCTCAAAAACTACTATAGACAGAGGAAGCATATAAATACATACATACATAGTCGTGCACGTAGTATGTACATACGCGTCTGTATGTATTTATTCTTGATATCGTATGCAGCTTTTCATTTATATGACGATGTCTCATTCTATTTCGATAGGTGTCGATACTTCCACTTAGTATCTAACTAGAGAGATTTAATGCGTGTGTATACTGGAGAGCGTGAAAAATATCGATATGAGTAAGTTAGAATAATGGAAAGCCTAGTGCAGTGCAAAGTAAATCCTAATTAGAACTATATATTTTTAGCATTGACACATGTTCAATATTTAAATTTATAATAATATTTAATTTACAATAATTAATTAAAGCACCCAAATGTATTACTATATAAAAGGTACCAAACCTTTGCTGCTCTGAATAAATTAGGTGCAGTAGAAAATAGGATAATATGTATATAAAAATTAAAATTAATTTTATTTTAAATAAAATAAAATAAATATATCCGTAATAAAAGTATTGTAATTATTGGATATTCAAACAGTATAGACAGAACATGTGCTTGTCTTATTGGAAATTTTCAAAATGGCGATTCAATTTAAATCAGCCCAATCAGGAGAATTTATTTCTATTTATTACATTCCTAAAAGTCCGTCTGTATTTGCATTACTATGATTGATAAATATATATTCAAAACAAGTTTTAGAATTTAAAACATAAAACAAAGTATTATTATATATTTAGGCAAAATTATAAATCATAAAAAACAATCTGTTTCCACCACCGGCAATCAAGATGTAGATGCCACCAGTTGCTTCTCATAGGCGATTACAAAAATATGAAAAGACGAAAGTAAAAATAAATAGCCGGAGAAATAATTAAACGACTAGCTACTAATCCTGTTTATTTTATATTATTATAATAACATATAAGAAACTAATAATATTTTAAATACTGAGAAATTTAATTGAATTTAGGATGCCACAAATATCGGCTAAAAATATCGATATTTCTCTAAAGACAAACTGTTGAATGATACCCTTTATATAATTTGCTGTGTTATGTTGGCAGTTCTGTCGTGTATGGTATAATATACAAGTATATGTGTGTATAAATATTGTTTAAGTCTTATAGTAACACGGAATTTCTCTATTTAATAGACATAAGTTTGCATATACAAAAAAATAAATAAATCGTTTCTATACAAAAATATAATGAAGTGATCTAAGTGCTTGTTTGGAAATCAAATTACAAATGAAATTGATGACATTGTGTGGCTGGGGTTTTTTTTTTATAACTGTATTGTGTACATAAACAAATATTCGGAACGATGTCTTTAAGCAATAAAAGCAATATTAGCGAAAAGGAAATCGACGATGAGGATATGCTATCACCGACGAAAATATCAACGAATCTTGTTGTACGAGTAAATCAAGATTCTGATGATAATTTGCAAGCATTATTCGATAGTGTATTGAATCCAGGAGATGCGAAGCTTCCATTGCAATTACCATTTCGTATGCGAAAGCTACCCAATTCATTTTTCAATCCTCCGGCACCGCTCCACTCGCGTGCCAACAGTGCCGATTCCACATACGATGGCTCCCAAACTAATATCAACAAGACTGCCCAGCCAGAAATACAGCCATCTCTCACACAGCAGAACCAGCCATCACACAGCCGTCTGGCAGTACATCATTTTCGTGCTCGCAGTAGTCCGGCGTCCCTGCAGCAGAACTACAATGTGCGCACCCGCAACGAGCCGAGCGTCAACAACACCAACACTAACCAAGGGCCAGCATATCCCGAAGCTAGCGTCGACTTCGCCAGCGCTAGTACGGCCAACAATATCGATTTAGATGTCATCAATACGTGCATGGGACCAGTACCAGGACCGGACGCCGCTGCCTTAGCTGCCACACAGACAACAATTCATAAAAAGCAAAGATCATACGATGTCATCAGCCCAATTCAATTACAAAGTCAATTAGGTGCCTTACCGCCTGGCTGGGAGCAGGCCAAAACTAACGATGGACAAATTTACTATTTAAAGTAAGTATTTGGAATTGAATAATTATTTCAATATAACTATATTGCTTAATTCTTAAAGTATTTAACTGATTAACGTCTTAAAAAAATAAATAAAATAAAAATAAAACAAAAAATTTAGTTACTAAACTAGCATTGACTTGAATCAGATTAGTGGATAGGATTTACATATTCTATATTTTTATGTTATTTTATATACATCGATATTTATATATGTACATACATACATATCCCTTGTCTAAATGGCTTCAGGCCAATGCATGCAACAGGTAAAGGCAAGCAAAATCGCGTCGCAATACAGAAAATTTTTTCAATTTATCATATATGTATGTAT